GGGGTAAGGGGTAAGGGGTAAGGGGTAAGGTGATAAGTGGTTAGGTGTAAGGGTGAATGTCTTGTACAACCATTTATACCTTTTGTGTAATTGCATCAATTATCCCGTTTGTGTACAACCATTTACACCGTTTGTGTAATTGCATCAATTATCCCGTTTACTCTAGCAAGCTCGTTTTCTCCTGTTATCACCTGTACTTGTGGTCACTGTATTTCCTCTTATGTGCGTGGACGACTAATGTAACAGCCTCATAATCATCTACTCCACAACTGCTGCGTCGAAAGCTATTCGGTATCGTAGTTTCTTACTGTCATCTGATGTGAAGTTGAATGGTGGTAGGAACCCTCTCGCCAACAGCGATGCATATGTGAGCATAAACACACCGCAATCGTTGAAGTCGTGTTGCTTTGGAATGTCTTCCACTGTCCATATATGGTTGAAGTATTTGGTGTCGATCTCTTGACCTTGTTCGATCGATCTCATATACAAAATTTTTGCGAAACCCCCTGTTACCTTCATCGTGAGTTCTTTGTCCGGTGTCAACGAGTCGTAGTACTCAAATTTCCTGCGTCTCAAGTCTGCCACTATGAGTGTCCAATGTTGGTTGTGCAAGACATGGAAAGGTGCAATAATCAAATCCATGTCGCTAATCACAACCTCTGTGAACCATTTGCGAACCTTATCGTTGTGGATCTTCATATTGCTATCAAATAGTTTGGCAAAGAAAAACGAGCTGAGAATTGCTTCATTCTGAGCCAGGATCAAACTCTGTTTTTTTATTATGGTTTAATTTTTGGAATGTAGGATTTGAACCTACAACAATGAGTTTACCAGTTCCATTCAATCCAATCTTAGTTAGTCAGCTAGTTGAATTACCAATTGAACATAACAAGGTGTAGCGCAGTCTGGTAGCGCATCTGTTTTGGGTACAGAGGGTCATAGGTTCGAATCCTGTCACCTTGAGTCAAAATCAGAGTAAATTGACATGAAAATCAATCGACCATTATCACCTCATATTATTATTTATCACCTCATATTACTATTTATAAGCCCGTAGAAAATGCATCTTTGATGCCTTGGGTATTAGCTACAACTTGTATTCATTCAGTCATTTCATTTCGGTTGAATTCTTGGACCTTCTTTCTAAACATTGTTACTTTTTTATTCAGTCTCTTAGGTACTTTTTTTGTTCGTTCCGGATTACATGCGCCCCTTTCCTGTTCTAACCACATTCTCATTATTTGAGTCGCAGTCTACATGCTTCACACGACACTCGTTGTCTAGTTGGACGAGGTTAAGATAAAAATTTACTATCTCCTCCTTCAACCAATTTTTTTCTACCATTAGTAAGCTAAAACCGTTAACAGTTATCGTTAGTTCTTCCCTTGTGTCTTCGTTATATGAGCTTGCTATGATGTCTTTATTCCCGATATCAACCGGCAACCGTGTGAGTGTCACCATCTCGTGTTCCGTCAAGCTCGTTGTTGCCAAGCGTATGATCCATCCTTTTTTGCACCTCCGATTATCCTCCATTCTTGTTTGCGCTGCACATGACCACGCGGCATGTCTTTATATGAGCCACTGTTATAAGATGTGTGGTCCCAGTCATGCTATATGCAATCGGTTTGATGGGTTAATGCAAATGTCATGGCGAGTCTTACTTTAAAGGGGTTGGGTGCTTATACGAAAAACGGAGTTCACGAAGCGGAAATAATACAACACTACATTGTTTATAATGCACTTTCGTCACAATGCATTATGCATTACGTCATTTATTGACAACTGAACTCAATCATTGACAGTTAGGGGGGGAGCGGGGGGGAGAGAGAGAGAGAGAGAGAGATGGTGCCACAAATCACGATTAACATTTTATTCCTCAATCCTCTCAAAACTTTGCGTAATATTTTATGTCATTCATATTGTTCATATCAATGACACGTAGTCACTCTATCTACACACATATACACATAGACACTCCACTTCACTTGCATACATATATACACACACCCCCACTCACACACACACACACACATATACACACACACACACACACACACACACACACACACACACACACACACACAACCCTGTTCATGTCTCTAAATATTCATCCTTTGTGTTTTTGCCTTTTCTCTTATCGAACGTTTTACTAGTCTCTCTCCTTCGTCCCCTTCGTTTTGCTCCTTGTTATCTTCCCCGACATCTTCACCGCCAGCATCCCCCTCTGCATGTGCAACTTGCCCTTCCTCGCTCTCGGAAACGCAATTAATCACATTGGCCGATGTGTTGGACCTTTCGACTTTATTCTTCTCTTCCCTCTCCACATCATTCAATAGTTTCATCATCTCGTCTGATTTTTCTTTCGCCTCGGCTGCAAATTCTGTACACACACCTGGTTGCATCACCTTCGCAACCACATCCTCCACTGAAGGAGTGAGACTCTCCATTTGCGATGCCCCTTCGTTTCCCAACTGTGTGACAAGCGGAGGCCCGTATGATGCAACGTTTGATTTTTGTTCGACCGCCTGAGACGCCGGAGCTCCCTTAACCCCCGTAGTCGTCCGCTTTCCATCTCCTTGAAGAAGGGTGTTTCCCTTCTCCGTGTCGTTTGCTGCGACACGCGTTTGATTCAGCGCTTCATCTGCACTCACTACAAAGTTAGTTTGCGACATTGCCGCAAACTGCGAACATCCAACAGGAATGTTATCGAGCATGTGACATGTGGGAGGCTGTACGATTTTCCAATCGATTTTGTTATACGACCGGCTTGATGGAAAGTCGTAAAACTGATGCTTGTACTCCAAGCGATTGTTGGAGCATAGAGACTCGAACAACGATTGGGCCTTCGCGCATATAAGGRCTTCATCGGCACCATGRTTTTCCTTCGTAAYGCRTAATAGGATTTCACCGTTTGTGGTTTTCAACCATGAATCTTCTGCCATCCTGGGTTTGACTTTCCAGCCATCCCTCAGATGCAGTGCCATTGCCCACTTCCCCTCGTCAATGCACGGTTCGAACACATCTGGGTGCCACAATATGTGATGCCCCCACTTCTCTGACGACGTCTCTTCGCCCACGTCATGAAATGCATAAGGCGAGGTGGAGCCCTGCATGAAGCTTTCTGGAATATCATCACCGGGCGTCAACTTTGGGAAGACACCTGGAACAACCGAGTCATCCTCGTCGGCGTCTTCCTGCACGTCGTTCATCCTCATCCCTCCAGACATTCGGCCGATGGACCTCTTCTCTCCTTGATACCCGTAACGATTGTCGTGAAGCAAGGTGTTAATTACGGCTTGAACGGGTGTCGGTGAATCCCTTGGGAATTCACCAGCGGAACTTGCCCTGTCCTGCGTGTCAACCACATAAGTGCTCAGTGGTCCGGATTGCTGCACACCTCCTTCAGGGTTCTCGTTTTGCACGCTGCCGTCCGGAACATTTTGCACTCCCTCACGACCATGTGCACCATCTCGAAAACGCTTAACTCGTAGGTCGATTTCAAGGTCCAAGGTCTCAGTCTCTTCATCGCTGTCAATCGGATTCCACGCATCTGTTCTACGTGCGACGTCACTGTAGTCGTTGTACGTCAACTTGCTGCAATGTCTCATGAACTTTAGCTCTTCGCATCGCGCCACAGACAACGTGAATGCCCCCACCTCTGCCTTGTGGTAACCACCATATGCTTCTTGTGCCATCCCTTTACGAGATGTACTCGTGCTGGAATGCAGTCTTGGGGTCGCCTTGGAACAAGTATTCCCACATTTTTTCTCTCTTCTTCCCCAACTTGTGGTACATGTCCCTGTCCGAGCATTGTGTGCTCTTATGTTTCTCGATGGTGCAATCGTTTCGAGGATTCTTGGCGAGTATTTCGATGACCTTTGTCAAATATGCGATGTCTTTTGACGATGCATCGCATGCAAATACATGGTTCCCCGCGCGCAAAAGCTCTCACACAAGGCCAACATGTGGCTTCCCAAGGACTATAACCCCTTCGTCCTCATGCAGAAATGAGCTGCATAAGGTTTATGGCCGTTGCGGCTCTCGTTCCCAACGCCCATACTCATTTTTTTCATTGCCTTCATCGCCGCCATGCTTTGCTGCACACCTCTTAAAAAATTGTTCCACGACGTTAACTTCCACAATGTCCGCTTCTGAGCGCGGCACTCTTGTAACCTTTCTGAGGTCGCCTCCCTCGGCATGCAGGACGATCGCCATCGTGTCCTTACTCTCAATTTGCATATTCCCATATTTATTGACAGTCGTTCCGACCCCCATAAAACGCTTCCAAGTGCCTGGTATCACCTTAACATTCTCCCAATTGTAGCGGTGTCGCATGAAAGTCTTGTGATGTTTCTGTGGCACGAAGACGATCAATGTCCGATTCTCGCCACACAACTTTGACATCATTTTGTATAGAGCGTCGAAGTCCTCCGGCGACCACGCAGAGCAATGCGACGGTAATGCGAGATCCAAGATCGTGGCCTTGCAATTAAGGTTTGTGGCAGCGGTAACGACTTCGTCTTGCGCAGGCAGCAGCTCCTCTGGGTGCATATTAATCGGCAGCAATGTTGCTCGTCGCCCTTTCTCTTCCCACAACAGGTGAAGCGCAACATTTGACAATCGTCACATCTCTGCCGTGAGCAAATCCACCTTTCCTATCGTCTGGTACACGAAGACCTTAAAATGAAAAGACGCATCTTTATACAATGCCTCTGTGGCCTTCAACCCTGCTCCTTTCAGGCCTTTCATTTCTTGGTCGCCACCAAGTCGTTTTGGAACCTTCCTAACGTACTCCAAAGGGATTCTATCCCTTTCCTCGTCCCATGCTTCCGCTGTGACACCGTACCTCTCTGTCATGCCCTTGTAATCGAAGAAAAACTCTTGGTTCTAGTCATCCTTCTCTTTGTTCTCCGATTTGAACATGATGTAGTTGAAGAGACGCATCATGTACCTCTCTCGCATGATAACGTCGAGGAGGTTGTTCATGTTCAACTTCCCCGTAGTAACCTGTCTAGCGGTGGCTCTGACCTTCTTGTTGATCATCAATCTCAATGCGACTTCCTTCTCTCGCGCCGTCATATCTCCAAAGCATTTGAAGTTTGATGGAACGAGATCTTTGAAGGTGACGGTGGCTCCATGCCCCCCGTCCTTAGTGGCGATGCAATGGAACACCTCCTTTTTCCCATTGATTTCTTCCGTATATTGCCCCGGAAGSTTCCCCTCTTGCCTYCCCGRCATATCTCTAGGGYACCTGCCATCRTAAAGTRGCAACTCTCCTGCTTCGAACTTCTCAAAAAACTCTTTCACCAACGGCCATATCCACCTCTTACACGTCGCCACGTTCATGTATCCTCTCATCCGGTTCGACCAGTCGGGCTGCCACTTCGGATGCAAGGCCTCAGTCCAAAGGCTTTTTTCACATGACCGGGTCATGCAAACCCTTATGAATTCTCGCCATGTCTCCTAGTGCATTTTACCGTTGATGTCGTTTTCAGCTACCTTGAAACCCACAGGCTCGATGTAATTTATCAACCGCCAAAAACCTCTTATGTCTTCACATGCCTGGTGGAACGACGGTAACATGGCATGGTCACCTCTCGTGTTCTCGTATGTCGAAACAACCAAATACCCATGTTTGTGATAGTCGTCAAAGTGAACAACGTGCACGCAATCATAATCGTGCAAACCGTCAATGGCAACAGCAGGAGATCCCCGACGTACCGCACTTTTCATGGCCTCTACGGTGTGCTGCCCAGCAACCGGGTAATAGAAGTATTCCTTTGCACGCCTCCAATCAAAGTCCTCCGGAAGAATACGTGTTCCTTGGACATTGGGGTCATTCGCACAAGGCGTAATTGGAGCGAGTATCAACTCCAACGGTTCCCACGGAGCATCAACATCCACACCCCTTTGAGCAGTGGACCTATCAATTAATGCATCGAGACCTGCACCAATTGCCTTGTTCAGCGACCGCTGGTTGAATTCGATATTCCACTCGGGAATCGGAAGAATCAACATGACATCTATGCAAACCCGTGGCACGTCTTTTCTTTTTTCGCCATTTTCATCGTACTCGAGAAAGAAGCACCGTGTCATGCCGACCGCACGGGGCTTCTTCGTTTCCGTTTCGTCCTCGACAATGAGGTCAGGCCGACGAGGGCCCACCCCTTCAGCGTCGTCGCTTGAATCATCTGACTTGGGAAGCCTTGATGAGCGTGCAGCCCTCTTAGGTTGCGATGTTTTGCAAAAACGGTTGCCTTCTTTATGTTTCTTGGCGGCTTCGCAAAGCATTTCCTGTGATGCATCCAAGGCACATCGAGCATCATCCACGGCTCCTTTTCTGACTCGTTTCTTCATCGCTGCTGGTGTTAGGGATGCATTTGCTTTCCGCTTACCCCTACTGTTCGAAGCCCCACCCGTTTCTACATCGCCATCCCCTCAATCGTCCTGCTCATCCTCATTCTGCATTCGCTCACTTTGTTTCATGTCATTGTGTGGTCCACCACTCGACGCACCCATTTCACTTTGTTCCCTCTCATTGTGTTTCTCATCCGAACAGTCGTCATCGCATCGCCCACTGCCACCAGGACGTTGTTCGAGTTCCACGTTCCCTTCGCTGTCTCCTCCGGCGCCCCCGGGTCGTGAGTCCTCCAAGGACCCCACGTCCCGTCCGCGGAACCCAACATCCTCCTCCGTTTCCGTTTGCTCCTCAGACCGTTAGTCAACGGCTTGAAGATCCGTCTGCCGAGAGCGTGAAGTGCCAGTAGTCGCAGCAGGTCGTTGTAGTTGCGGTGGAGTTGTGGCGAGTTGCTTCCTCTTCGCAGCCTTATCCAATGAACCTGCCCCCGACCGCCTGAAGTACGTAATTACCTTCTGAGCAACGTCTGAATGTTGCTGAGAAGTCGAAGGCACTTGGCGTGATTCTCCACAAGACTTCAAAACGCCAGCGACACCCTGGACCGGAGTGTCGTACGGGACAAGCGGTCCTGTGAACTGATGACCGGCATCTACCTTCGGGTAATGACCACTTTTTCTATAGCTGTTTATTTTGTTAAGGAAATCCACCGGATGAACCATCCAAAACTCACTTCCACCCCCCTTCGCTTCGAAAGGTTTCATACCGAACGCCCTCTGACCGTACCCTTTGAATAGGGCTAGGTCGAGGCTGACTTTCTTGTCGGCATCGACCCAGTCGGTGCCCTGTTCATCGTAAACGGAAGTGAGATGGAATTTCCTCAATTCTCTGCCATCAACCTTTCCCTTCTCCGTCGTCGCCTTAACGCCCTCGGACTTCATGATGCCACCACAACAGTACCAATTCAGACCTCCGTCTTCCGTCAAGAAAACTATAGCGCCACATCCGGCCTTCACGGTAGAGTTTTGACCCTCTCCCCCTGCTGGCAGAGACAGGTTGCTCACACGAGCCAACGTCGGACCCTCACACGCTGGTAGAGTTTTGACGTTACAAGCGGCTCACACACGAGCCAACGTTTGTGTAACGTCGGACCCTCACACGCTGTGAGCCGCCTGTACGTCAAAACTCTACCAGCGTTTGTGTAACGTTGGCTCGTGTGAGCCGCCTGTCACAACGTTGGCTCGTGTGAGCCGCCTGTACGTTACACAAACGCCGGACCCCCCTGCTGGCAGAGGGAGGTGTGGGGGTCCGGATCTCTCTCTCTCTCTCTCTCTCTCTCTCTCTCTCTCTCTCTCTCTCTCTCTCTCTCTCTCTCTCTCTCTCTCCCTTCGGCATCGAAGGGTGATAGGGTCCTGCGTTTCGCAAACACCGGACCCCCCTGTTGGGAGTGGGGGTCCGGCGTTTGTGAAACTCCGGACCCCCCGTGCTGGAAGAGAGAGGTGTGGGAAGGGTGGGGGTCTGGCGTTTCTGAAACGCCGGACCCCCCTGCTGGCAGAGAGAGGTGTGGGGGTCCGAATCTCTCTCTCTCTCTCTCTTTCTCTCTCTCTCTCTCTCTCTCTCTCTCTCTCTCTCTCTCTCTCTCTCTCTCTCTC